ATCCTGGCGACAGCGATCAGAGTATTAAGCCGTATCCGTAGGTATGAAGCAGCACAGTGGGAGCGAACACACGAGCTGAAATGTATCTATGGGGCGAAAGGGGAAGTTGTGAGGGAGCGATATGGCAGCAAGCAGCGTCGGTCGAGTCAGCCAGAGCAATACAAGCGTCGTCAGCGCCGGCTCTGATAGATGTGGAAAAATGCTATGAGAAGATCCCGCACGATGTATTGTGGCACGCGTGTGTTAAGCATAACTTCAGTTTGCGTCGTATCAGGCTTTTGCTCATGGTATATGGTGGTAAGCGTCGTGTTAAGGTGCGTGAGATTGTGTCCGACACTATCCAGATCACGAGATCGATCGTGGCAGGTTGTTCGTTTGCAACGACGCTCCTGAGGGTCATTTTGCACGATGCCTTGCGGTATATGCAGGAAAGGTGGAGTTCGCTCACTCTATATGTGATGGTAGATGACATCACCGTCGAAGCGATAGGCTCCATGCGGAACGTGGAGCTGAAAATCGCCACAGCTGTGCCAGACCTGTGTCGTCGTCTCGAGCTATTAGGTTTGGTCGTCTCCAGGAAGAAGGGCCAGATTGTGGCCTCGAGTGACCAGCTCGCCCAGAGGCTGCAGAAGGCTTTGTCCAGGAACTGCTTTAAAGCGTATTCCTCGGTGAAAAATCTCGGGCACGATTTCGGGATGCAGTTCAGGAAGGGGAAGAAGACGCTCAGGCAGAGGATTTGGTCCGTTCGGAGGCGAGCAGGTCGGTTTCATTCGATCAAGCATCACAGAAAAGGGTTGAAACGCGTTTTTCGGGCTGGAGGGATGGCAGCAGCAACGTATGGTACAAGGGTCCAGGGGATGTCGACGACGGACCTGTGCAGTCTACGAGCTGTGGCATCCTTGGCGTTGTTTGGGAAGGCTAAGGGGCGCTCGCGTGCAGTGCAGTATTTATTGACGGATCCGTATGACCTTGACCCGTCGTTCGTCGTCAATTCGTTACCGCTAGTGACATGACATGGTATACCGCACTGCGACAAGAGTGGCTCCCTCGGAAATTGCTGTCCACCATATTTGAAGCGGCCGCGGCCGCGTCCAAGGCTGGGTGGAGCTCGGTGATAGGACCTGCTGGCGCAGTTATCCAGACCCTCGTGCGCACAGGATGGGTGGCGGTTGACTATGTGACGTGGAAAGATGGCCAGGGGCTCGTGGTGGACCTCCTGGAGATAGGACTCCAAACCCTCAAGAGCCTCATCCATCGAAGCCTCCGCAGGGCCCAGGAGATCCAAGCGCAGAAGCACTTTGGGTTGGACTGTATACCGTATTTGGATCATATTAAGCAGGAGTTGCAGCGCATGAGGGGACGGGGTGAACATATCCAGGCAGATTTAGTTGTTACTCATCTTGCTGGAGGCCTTTGGACCCAGAGCAAGCTGTATTGTGAAAGATACTCCATATCCAACATGTGTCGAAGCTGTGGAGCTCAGGCAGGCACCATTCGGCACCGTATATATGAATGTGATGGTCAAGCTGCATGGCGGCGTGACTTTGATATGGCCGAGCTAGTGGATATCAGTCGGGAAGCAGGAGATTGTCCGCTTGTCGAATATGGTGTTACAGGCTCGAGACGAGACGAATTCCCCCCACCGCTCGTGGGATCCCTGGCTGAAGAGAAGTTCCAGAAAAGACTGGGGCCCAGGGGCCATCTGGGGTTGGAAATTTTCATCGACGGATCGGGGTTGAACCCTGTAGTGGAGTGGCAGACCCGTTCGGGATGGTATTGTTGCACCTTGGTTCCAGGATCCCGCGAAGCAGGACTTGTGTGTTATGGTCCCACGCCTGGCGTGGTACAGAGTGCAGGGCTAGCAGAACACTTCGCCTTTTATATGGCCCTGTGCATGATGGGGCCGAAGGCGGTCATCATCACCGATCATAAGAACTTGCTGCTGTCCGTGGACAAAGGAGCTGAAATAATGTGTTCCGACCCAGCCGTATTTTGAGGTTTGGAGGTTGGTTTTCTGGAAAATCGAAGACGTGGGGAGAGAAAGCTTTGAGCTGGTCTGGATGCCGTCCCACAAATCCAGGGCTTGGCTGAGTAGGAATGGTTTTCCCCCGCACTGGCACGCTGGAAATTCTGAGGCCGATCGGTATGCTAAGCTAGGAGCCATGGGGCGCCCGTCCCAGCCCCAGATCCTCGAACGTCTCAGAGCCGCTGAGCAGTTCGGGGTTAAGTTTGTTAGACTCCTGTCAGGTGTTTTGTATAATCTCAGCAGGCAAGGTTTTCCAGATGTAGACGATATGCCAAAGGTCCAGAAGAGGCCTGAAAAAGCAAAAGGTAGCAGGTGAATTACTGTGTACACTCAAACTTGTAAAGGGGGATAAAGGGCACCTCCTTCATAAGCAAGGGGGTCGATGGGGCTGTCGTATGTGTGGTCAGAGCTCGCTCCGAAGAGAACGCGTGACCAGTCAGCAATGCCCTGGTACCCCAAGGATTGTTGCAAAGGCCCACCCATCCCATCGAATGTGGGTGTGTGGGTCTACTTTCTTCTGTGCGAGGTGTGGGAGCTATGGCACTGGCCAAGTGAAAGGCTTGGCTAAGGAGTGCCCTCCCAGAGGGCCAGGCGAATGGGGCAGGAGAGCTCTGAAGGAGCTTGAGAAGGGGAAGGACCCTACCAGCAAGAAGGTGGTGGGGACCCCCTTTCCTGTCCATTGAGCCCCCTTTTCCACAATTGCAGGCTATCTTTCACCCAGTGAGGGATAGACTTGTCCGAGGCTCCAGAGGCTCCAGAGGAGGAGGAGGAGGAGAGGGAGGGGAGGGAGGTGGGGGAGCTGGAAGAGGAGGAGGAGGAGGAAGAGGAGGAGGAGGAGGCTTAGGATGATGATGATGATGCTGATGATGATGATGCTGCTGCTGATGATGATGATGATGATGATGATGAGGTGGAGGAGGAGGAGGAGGGTAAACCCAATATTCATCAGCGATGTTGGGATACACCATCCCTCCAAGTTCCTTCTTCACAGACCCCACTTAATTATTCGCTTCCACTGAGTGAGGTGCTTCGTTGCGAGACATCCGTGTGGAAATCTTGACGCTTGCCAAAGCACCATTCTCATAACTTCGACGCCACGAGTCAACCTGACCGTTGCTTCTTGACGATCCGGAACCGTGCCAGATGACCATTCCTGAAACTTCAACACAGCAAATCAACCTAATTGTTGCGCCCTGACATCGGTGAATCGCTTGAACACATCATTCCTGGAAGTTAACCAATGCGGGAACCACACTATGAAAAGGAACCGTCATCAATCCGTTCGACTCTTACAAAAAACGAGTATGCGCGGCGCTGATGCGAGGGCTCGCATTTCGAAAACCACCTGTCCTCAATCCGCGAATCCCTGGCAAACTCTTAACGAATCTGTGAGGCGTTCAGGCGAGAGCCACATGTTGACAACGACCCGACCTCAATCCGTGAAGCTCTTACGAATTTGTAAGACGAGCGTGCGCGGCGCTAAGGCGAGAACCACATTTTGAAAACGACCCGCGCTCAATCCGCGAAGCTCTTGTAGTTTTTTAGGACGAATGTGCGCGGCGCTCAAACGAGAGCCACGTTGTGAAAACCCTCCGCCCTCAAATTGTGAAGCTCGGTCAAAGCAATGCGCGCGGCGCTAAGGCGAGAGCCACACGTTGAAAACCACCTGCCCTCAACCAGTGAACCTCTTGCAATGTTTTGTCAAACGAATGTGCGCGGCGCTAGGGCGAGAACCACAGTTTGGAAGTGACCCACCCTCTATTTGTGAAACTTGTTGCCAGCTTCTAAGCGTCAGGCTCATAGGCTGTAAGGAAGTCTTAAGCGAAACGCCCGGCCCGCCCTTCCGACTTGCCTGGAGATGGAGGAGGAGGATGACGAGAAGCAGGAGGAGCATGAGGAGGAGGAAGAGAGGAGGGGGATAATGGTGATGCTGAAGATGATGATGCAGGTGTTGCTGCTGATGATGATGATGATGATGATGATGATGATGATGATGATGATGATGATGATGCTGATGCTGATGCTGATGCTGATGCTGATGTTGATAATAATATGCTGATGGTGGTTATGATGATCATAGTGATGATGGTGCTGATGCTGATGAACGTGATGATTCTGCTGCTGATGATGAAGATGGTGATGCTGATGATGATGATGATGATGATGATGATGGTGGTGATGATGATGATGATGAGGAGGAGGAGGCGGAGGAGGAGGAGGAGGTGTAGTGGACGGGGAAAGGGGCGGGCGAGAAGGAGAGCGACGTGGATGCGGAGGAGGAGGAGGATGACGACAACGACGACGATGACGGAAAGTTCGACGGCGACGCCGAGGCAGGCGGATCAGGAGCAGGAGGACGCGCGATCACTTTTGGGAGCCACCTCGGCTCAAACACGCTGTCATGGATACTGGACTCTGGCAAACATTTCAATGCCGGGTTCCCGGAGCTCTGCACTACTGCCCAGGGACCCGATGTTGGTCCCGGGTCGCTGCTTGACGGGGCGGGGTCCCGGCGAGTGCCACCAAATGCCGAAAGCCACGAGACACGCCGCCGTGATTTTTCGATGTGTTGGAGGTCCGAGTTTTTCTCCACTGTGACAAAAGTAACTCGGCCAGAACCCTGGACCCCATCTTTCTTAGTCATTTCTCTAGCGGGATCGATCCATGAGGGTCAGGGGGCCCGAAACAAGGCACACTCGCCCGCTGTGAAAAAACTGCGACGCCAGGATCTCGGGGCTCCTCTTCCTCCTCCCTCCTCCCTCCTCCCCCCTCCCCCCTCTCTGAGGACACTGGTTGCGAGTGGGGGGTGTCCATGGCATGTGATACTTAGACGTGGCAGGGGTGAAAATACACATTCGTGTAGTATGCCGTGGGCCACCAGAACTGAGAGCTCCGCCCACCCCGCGCAGGCCCACATGTGCCCCGCCATAGCGGTACCGCGCGCTCGCCTCGCCTCCTCCCCCCTCGTCGGCAG